CTGACGTGGGGCTGAATCCTAGGACCCTGGGATCATGATCTGAGCCGAAGGCAGGAGCTTAACAACTGAGCCAGCCACCCAGGCACGTAGCTCTTCTTTAAATGTTTGGTAGAATTGACCTGTGAAGTTGGCCCATGACTTTTGTTTGTTGGGAGTTTTTTTTTTAACTACTGACTGAATATCTTTAGTAGTAATCAGTCTGAATATCTTTAGTAGTAATCAGTCTGTTCATATTTACTATTTGTTTCTGATTATTTTGGAAGATTATATGTTTCTAGGAATTTTTTTTTTTTTTTAAGATTTTATTTATTTTTCTGACAGGGAGAGATCACAAGTAGACAGAGAGGCAAGCAGAGAGAGAGAGGGAAGCAGGCTCCCTGCCGAGCAGAGAGCCCGATGCGGGGCTCGATCCCAGGACCCTGAGATCATGACCTGAGCCGAAGGCAGCGGTTTAACCCACTGAGCCACCCAGGCGCCCCTGTTTCTAGGAATTTATCCGCTTTCCAGGTTGTCTGATTTGTTGGCATATATATATTCATAATATTCTCTTAAAATCCTTAGTATTTCTGTGGTGTTGGTTATTTCTCTTCTTTCATTTCTGATTTTGAGTCCTGTCTCTTTTTTGTCCTGATGAGTCCTGCTAAACATTTATCAGTTTTGTTTTATCTTTTCAAAGAATCAATTCCTGGTTTCATTGATCTTTTCTGTTTTTGTTTTTTTTTTTAAGTCTCTATTTCATTTATTTCTGATCTAGTCTTTATTATTTCCTTGTAGCTTTTAGCTTTGGGCTCTGTTCTTTTTCAAGCTTTCAGGTGTAAGGTTAGGTTGTTTGAGGGTTGTTCTGTTTTTGTTTTTCCCCAAGAGAGGCCTGTTTTGTTATGAACTTTCTCTTAGAGCTGTTGTGGCTGACGTCTGTTTGCTTTCAACCCGGTTGACTGCATTGACTCAGTTTTCCTGCTGTGGGCTTGCTGGACAGAGTTCTGTCCGTGCATTGTTGAGGAGTCTGTCTGAAGCCTCTCCAGATAGACAGGGTCCTCAGTCATGCTAGCTGTCTGCACTTAGTCTATCTCCCCAGCTACAGGCCCACCAAAGGTTTTGTTTGTGCTCTGCCACCTGAGAGGTTTTGGTTGGTGGGTGGGTCAGCAGTCAGAGCAGATGTCTGCAGTTTGTCTGTTTCTGCCTGCATGGCCGGCTACAAGGTTTGGTGCTGGAAGTGTGCACACTGATTTATGTGGTTATCTTCTCCTCTCCCCAGGGTAGGAGTCACTTTGGAGCTCCCGAAGTTAAGCCTCACTGGTTTTCAAAGCCAGATGTTGTGGAGACTTGTCTTCCTAGTGTGGGTACCCTGTGCATGGGGTGTCTCGTGTAGGGTACAATCCTCTTGCTGTCTGTGCTTCTCAGTGTCTCTGCCATTTGTCATTACTCTCCCCTGGGGTGTTGGTTTTCACCCACCTCTCTGCTCCTCCTACCCTTTTCAAGGTGGCCTCCTCTCCAGGATGGTCTGTTCTGCCAGTCTTCAGGTCGTGTTCAGAGTTGGTTGCACAGATGAAGCTGTTATCTTCGTGTGTCTGATGGATGATATGAGCTCAGGATCCTTCTACTCTGCCATCTCCCTCACAGTGCACACACATACACTTCTCAGCCGTTTGTTGAGCCAGGATCCAAGTAAGAGACATATATGTAGGCTCTTTCTCTTTACCTTTCCCCCCATCCGTTGTTTTTACCTTATTACTTATTTAATCTTCTCTGTAACTGTGAAAAAGATAGTATTAGTTCTGTTTACGAAGGAGGAAGCTGAGGTCCTGAGAGGTTAAGGAATTTGCTTAGCATCACAGAGTTTAGTGAGTACCTTTAGCTGAAAATCAGCCCAAGCTTACTGTCTCCGAAGCCAATGTGCCTTTATGGAGTTAAAAGACTGGATTTGGGCACCTAGATTTGTCATTTGGTTAAGTGTCCCAGCTCTTGATTTCATCTCAGGTCATGATCTCAGGGTATGAGATTGAGCCCTGTGTCAGGCTCTGCACTGGGCGTGGAGCCTGCTTAAGATTCTCTCTCTCCTTCTGCCTCCCCTACCCTTCCAAAAAAAAAGACTTTGGATTCAAACTTTGACAAAACAGAGGAGTCTCCATGACATTTTACTAGCTGTCTGCCCTCTCTCACCCAAGTGTTCACAGTCCAAGGATTCCTGAATTAGGTGGCTAAGGAGCATACTAATTTTTGTCTAGTTTCCTATATGTAAGAGGAACTTCGGGCTCATCTACCCCAGGGTGTGAGAGGAAATCAAGGGGTGTTCGTCCAACAGCTCCCAGTTTAACCAGAGCAACTCCAGAAAAGTCCTTTTCTTTCTGCTTCCTTTAACCTCTCTCCTAAGAGAAGTTCTGAGGTTGCAGTCATAGTGTACTGAAGGGCACTGTTCACTGCGGTAACCACTAGGCACAGGTAGATATTTCCATTTTAATTTAAATTATTTAAAATTAAGTAAAATTGAAAATCAGTCCCTCAGTCACACTGCCCACATTTCAAATGCTTAGTATTCACATGTGGCCGGCCAGTGACAGTTGTATTGGATCCTGCAATATAGAACACTTCTACCATTGCGGAAAGTGGTTAGTCCTGAAACGTAGTGTGTGGAGGTAGTCATGTGTGTTTCAGCCTTATGTTAAAATTGTGGGGGTAGCTTTCAGAGTGATCCCAGATTTAAATTATGAAGTTTGAGAGTAGAGGGTGGGAAAATACCAGGCTTTGGGACCCTGAATAACGAGCATTTTGTGAGGTTAGAACAGTGAAAATAAGGGGGAGGGATTCCTGATAGCTACTACAAAACCTGGTACCTTTTTCCCACCTGCCAGACCCACAGTCCACACAAAAATCACAAGGATTGCCAGAAACCCTGGATGAATGATTGCTTTTATCTTTGTAGAAATGTAAATTAATCCTACCACAAGCTCTCCCTATTAGTTGAGTGACTGGTTTCAGTTTGGGTCTAAAAGGTAAGGGGCATTCATTTATTTTTTTTCTGAGTATAATGGTATATTCTGAGTATAATGAGTATGACTCTAGAGCTTGACTCTTAAGATTTGTGAATTTTAACTCTTTAATTTTCGTATCCCCTTACTGGGGTGCTGTCAAAGAGAAAGAGAGCCAGACATATGTTAAAGGTAGCAAGACAGATTTCATTTAGAGAGACTGCAGCAGAAATTGAGTTCAGGGCGCCTGGGTGGCTCAGTGGGTTAAGCCACTGCCTTCGGCTCAGGTCATGATCTCAGGGTCCTGGGATCGAGTCCCACATCGGGCTCTCTGCTCAGCAGGGATCCTGCTTCCCTCTCTCTCTCTCTGCCTGCCTCTCTGTCTACTTGTGATCTCTCTCTGTCAAATAAATAAATAAAAATCTTTGAAAAAAAAAAAAAAAAAGAAATTGAGTTCAGATCTACTGAAACAAAAGGTGAGAATCTTTTTATTTAATTTTCAAAGATTTTATTTTTTTATTTGACGGCGAGACCGCGAAAGAGGGAATACAAGCAGGGGGATTGGGAGAGGACAGGCTTCCTGCCAAGTAGGGAGCCCGATGCCGGATCCCAGGATGCTGGGATCATGACCTGAGCCGAAGGCAGATGCTTAAGGACTGAGCCATCCAGGCACCCCAAGAACCTTTTTAAATGCTGGAATGTACTAAAGGAAAAGTACTGAAGATGTTAGGTTGGTCAATGTGATTAGGCCATCTGTGTTTGCTAATTGATGTTTATCAAAGTTAAGACTTCTACTGTCCCACAGAGACTGGGAGACAAGGGCCCTATTCTTCCTGATTACGTTTCAAAGGGATGGCTCCCCAGTTCTTGAGAAAAGAGATTTCTGGGTTGTAGAAGATCTATATCTCAAGGGTCAGAGAAGGGGTTTATAACTGCAGGTTTTCTAAAGTAAATGCTCTAAGCAAAGTGAAGTCAGGGACCTATAGTCAGGTTTACGGGAGAACAAACAGTAAGTTTTGAGGGGAGCATTGAGCCTTCTCAGGCAGGCATTTTAAGGGGGTAAGGGTGATCCTAGGGACATGGCCTTAAGCTGATAAAAGCTTTGTGATGGGAGAAGTTGATGGGAGTTGTTTGTCCTGAGAGTTTGCAGTTCTCAGTACCTGGATAACGTTTTATATACAAAATTTCATGACCTGGACATTTTGGGGAATGATGAGGCTGGAATTTAATCCCTTCTTGGGAAGGGGAAAAGAACCTTCAGTGAAGGGAATAAGGCATTGTTTGGGGAGCTGTCAGGAAGTGGACTTAGAGGACCTGAGAAAGCTGCCTTGGATTTTATTTTGTTTTTTAACTCCAAGATGAATAGTATGAACCAGTGTAATCGACAGGAAGGTGAGAGATCACTGTTAACTGTAAAATACAAAAAAGCTTTTTGGAAGAGGAAGAACTTGAGCTGAACCTTGAAGAATGATGGGTAGGCTTTTCTTGGTTTAGCATTTTATTATGGTATATCTGTGAAACCCCATCAGATTTCCATAAAAATAAATTATAATCTCACAATTGGATTAGTTATTTTTAAATATTTTTCTTTAAAAACATGGCTCAAAGTAGGTATTTCTCTTTTTTGACTCTAGATTTCTGGATTGGTTTTCAGCCAGATCGCTTCAGATTAACATGTTCTAAAGAGCCTCCACATTTTTGCACAATCAGTTCTCTGCCTAAAATCTTCCAACCCCCACCCGCATTATGCACCTTCAGGGAATTGACCCAGATGAAGAAGTGCCCTTTCTTTGCTCCTGTAGTACAGTATTTTCTGTTTTTTCTCTCCTATTATAGCTCTTAGTTTGTTGTAATTCATTTGTAATGTCAACCCCCTAGTATAGTGTCTGGCCCCTAGAAGATAACCTAATGTTTAATTAATAGATGTGGTTAAATAGTAAGCTCTGAAATGTGTTTTCCAGTGTTAAGAACTCAGCTATCTTACGTGCATAGGTATAATACGTATTTGTTAACTGAATTTTTATTTGTTCTTAGATGGCATTAAGAGGATCTGCGCCAGTGACAGTTATACCTCTTCCTGGAGAGCAAGGACAGGTTCAGGGGGTCATCCAGACAGCTCAGTCTTCTGTAATTCACCCACCACACGTGCAAACGGTACAAAAATTCAAAGACTTAGTGGTTGAGAGAGGGGACTTTTATACCCTGAGTCTCTGGACACAATGAAGTTGTTGTAGTTGCAATATTATAAACCAGGATAATAAAGTTGTCTTAGAAATTAGACGGTAGGACAAATGAGGCAAATAGAAAAGTTTGCGAGTTTCTATTTTCATGTATTGACTACGCAGTGAAAAAGTAAGACAATTTGGGGGGAAGTTATTGCTCAGAAATGAGACCTCCTTAAGGGAAAACACCTTTTTGTCCCAGTGGTATCTTTCATGAAAAGGAGAATTCTGAAGCAAGGGCGGTGGTGTTAGTGTCGGCAAAGGAAGAAAAATGCGTCCCTTGTGTTTTGTGGAGGTCAGATAGAGTTCTCTCTAGTAGAGGCAAGTTCTTACTTAGGTCTCTCTACCTTCGTATTACCAGTTGAGAGCAGTAGAAAGGAAAGCAATCCCGGGTTCTTTTTTCTTTCTACTCTTTCTCCCCATTTTATCTTCTGGCTCCCTGGGTCTCTGATGCGTTTGGTCATTCCTCATTTTTTCCTGCTGACTACTTATAAAGTACCTGGCTCTGTTGTCTGCTCTACGGCTGTGTCTTGAATGTGGTTTTCCTGTACAAAAGGTGGCTACTGCATGGATTTTTGAGTTTTATATGAAGATTTTCCTCTTGCTTGCCAGTGCTGTCATTAAAAAGAAATACTTGATCTTAGTTATAGAAGTAATCTCTTAGTTCCAGAAATTATTTTCTGGAGTTCAGTAGGAGACTTTGGAGTAAATACAGGGACAGTGAGAACAGTTAAAGGTTTAGGTTAGATTGGTATATCCATGATGCTTGAGGAAATACTATAATATAATATCCGTTACTATTGGTTAATTATTACAGGTCGTGACCAGTTCATGCTTTTCTACCAAAAGATACAGATTTAATATAAGATATAAATAAGATATAAACAGTTGCACACTAGAACTTGTTTTTGAAGGAGATTATAGAATATAAAACAAATTTCCCTGGAAACTTAAGATGTAAGTCTGATTCCTATAGGGGAAGGCTTTCTGTAGATAGTAATGTAGAACACTGATTTGTTAGTGTCCTTTCTGGAAGCCTGTTTGGGTTATTTTATTTTTTAAAATAAAGATGAAGTCAGGTGTCACAGTGCAACTTTGGATTAATGTTGGGGACTTTTAATATATTTTAGAAGTTGAAAATAACTTGTTTTCTTAATAGTAAGAATGTTGTAACAAATTTGCTTGCGGTTATTGTGCTGACACATTTTTAAAGGGCTTATTATTAATAGTTACCATTTAATATGTGCTTGCTATATGCCAGGCGCTAAGTCCTCTACATGTATTAACTCATTTAATTATCAAGTGAAATAAGGCCTAATAATTAGTACAGATTTCTGAATTGCATGTTTATATCCACCCTTGCCAGTGACCGCCATCTTGCTAACCCTAATGAGCTGTTCTCAGTCCGTGTTTCACTTTACCTGTTAGCATCACTTGACATAGTTGATCATTCTTTTTAATACACTGGTTTTGCTAGCTCTCTAGGGTATGTCACTTATCTGGTATTCTTCCTGTCTCAGTGGTGGCTTGTTCTTGGTCTTACTTGCACGTTCCTCCCCTTCCTCCCCACTATTAATGTGTTCCTGGGTTTTGTCCTTGGTTCTCTTCTCTGTATATTGAGCTCATCCAATCTTATGGCTTTAAGGATTTCTTTTTTTTTTTTTTTTTTTTTTTTAAAGATTTTACCCATTTATTTGACAGACAGAGATCACAAGTAGGCAGAGAGGCAGACAGAGAGGTGGGGGGAAGCAGGCTCCCCGCTGAGCAGAGAGCCAGATTCGGGGCTCGATCCCAGGACCCTGGGATCATGACCTGAGCCGAAGGCAGAGGCCTTAACCCACTGAGCCACCCAGGCGCCCCTGGCTTTAAGGATTTCTAAAGAGCTCTCCCAAGTTTATATGTCTAGCCCAAGACCTCTCCCTGACTCAAAGGCTTGTATATTTGGCAGTCTCTGCAATGTTATTATCTAATAATTTGAAAATTGTTGGATTTATAATAGTGCTTCAAAGTTGGCATGTCCAGAATCCAAATCAGATTATTGATTTTTTTAAAAAACGGAGTAATGTGTACCAGTTTAGAAACAGTGGAAATCAGAGACTGGTCTTTATAACTCTAGTAAAATAGCATTGCTTTATTTTAGGGATAGACTTTCTTCTTGCTTCTGAGCATGCTGTACTGTATGTTCCTTTAAGTAGTTTGGGTCTCTGAAATAAATGTTGCTTTTTCTTTCAGACCTTAGATTTAATGACAAATGAATTTGTTTGGCAGGAGACAGATCATATTTTCTGAGAGTAAAAATTAAATTGTTTTCCACCTGCATTGTTCATCACGGTAAAACCAGTTCTGTTTTTCAGGTATCATCTTTATCAGAGAGTGAGGAGTCTCAGGACTCATCAGACAGTATAGGCTCCTCACAGAAAGCTCACGGGATCCTAGCACGGCGCCCGTCTTACAGGTGAGTACTCCACCTTTCAGAGCCTGCACGTGTGATACCACACCAGCAAGTTGGAGTGGTGTTGTGCAGAGCAAAGTGTATAAAGAGGGAGCATGTGTCTGTGTCATGTGGGAAATGTTGAGAGATCTGAGCCAGATTATGAAGGGCCAGATTGCTATCCTGAAGAGGAATTTAGTCTTATCTTCTGGCAGAGTACTAGATTGCTGTATTTACTTTTATTTTTTTTATTATTTTTAATTTTTTTTAAGATTTTATTTATTTATTTGACAGACAAAGATCACAAGTAGGCAGAGGCAGCCGGAAAAAGCAGGCATAGAAGTAGACAGAGAGAGAGGGGAAGGCGGCCCCCCGCTGAGAAGAGAGCCCGATGCGGGGCTCGATCCCAGGATCCTGAGATCATGACCTGAGCTGAAGGCAGAGCCTTTAACCACTGAGCCACCCAGGCGCCTCTGTATTTACTTTTAGATAGTTAACTTTAAGAGCTGTGTGAAAGAAGGACTGTAGACTTAAGGAACCGAACTAGCTTCTGTTCCCTTTCTTAGCTTCCTAACTCTGGGCCTTTGTCCCATTGCTGAAGTACATTTTTCTGCATTCTTTGTAACTCCTGCACATACTTTAAGCCTTATTTCTTCCTGGAAGTCTTCTGATTACCTTCTTTCCAATTCCTAAGACCAAGTTAGGCCTTTCTTTGGTGGCGTTTCTTTTAATGACCCCTGTTTTACAGTATTTAGCTCCTCCTGTTGGAATACCAGCTAATAATACATGGGCCAGAGGTGCCTTTGCTGGCTCAATCAGAAGAGCATGCGACTCTTGGTCTTGGGGTCGTGAGTTCAAACCCCATGTTGGGTAAAGAGATTATTAAAAAGAAATAAACTTAAAAAAAAAATACATGGGCCATGCTCTTAAATAATTTTTTGCATTGTAGAGCGACCATGTAAGAGTAGATGCTCAGCGACTACTTGTGAAAACAGCTAGAAGGTAGGAAGAAAGGGAGACAGAAAAGGATGAAATGCTGTCTTTGAAAGCATATAAACAAATGCAGTTAAGATTTTAGATATAAAAGAACACTGTTTAGGGTATAGTTATTCCTGCCTGGTGGAATAAATAGGAAAGATTTCATAAAAGATGTCATTTGGATCACCAGCAATCTGAAAAATTTAGGGATGGGGAGAAGTTTGGTAGCAGGAGAAGGGCTTCGGCTGAGGAACAGTGTAATCACAGTATGATATGAAAGAGGTTGGCCCGTTTTGGAAATTGGGAACTTAAGGAAGAGGAGGTTTAGCAAGAAAAGGTAAACAAGAGCCAAATTTCTTCGAACCTTATTACCATGTTAAGGAATTTGGACTCTATTGAATAAACGGTTAACGAACAGACAAATTTTGTCTCTGAATTTGGGGGGGTGTTGAAGAAGAAACCCCACTTAAAATGAGCTTATAACCTGAAATTATAAAAAGTTGAAACAAATCCATTTTTAGCAAGCAGCAGGAGATACATAAATAGAATGAAACTACCAAAGAACTTCAGAGAGTAAAATAAAATTGCTAAAAACTATTGAGGAATTCTAAGTGTTATACAACAGATTAAGTATAATTAAGAGAATTAGGGACCTGGGAGTTTTCCTCCAAGTAAGTGACCTAGAATGTCGAAGAGCACTGCCAGCAGCTTTTCTTTAATGACTGAAGTTTCTTTCTTTTTTTTTTTTAAAGATTTTATTTATTTATTTGACAGATCACAAGCAGGCAGAGAGAGAGGAGGAAGCAGGCTCCCTGCTGAGCAGAGAGCCCGATGTGAGGCTTGATCCCAGGATCCTGGGATCATGACCTGAGCCGAAGGCAGAGGCTTTAACCCACTGAGCCACCCAGGCACCCCGTGACTGAAGTTTCTAAAACTTGAATCTGTCAGCTTCAAAAAGCAAGGTCCCAAACAAGATAAACAAATCTAGATGTAACTTACTAAGTAAAACTGGAGAACAGCAAAGATAACAATAAGATCTTAAAAGCTTTTGGGGGGGGGAAAAAAAAGATTACCTAGAAAAGAATGACCATTAGACTGACAACAGGTTTTTTTTTTTTTTTTTTTTTTTTTTTGTTTTTTTTTGTTTTTCTTTTTAAAGATTTTATTTATTTACTTGACAGGCAGAGAGAGAGGAGGAAGCAGGCTCCCCGCCGAGCAGAGAGCCCGATGCAGGGCTCAATCCCAGGACCCGGGGATCATGACCTGAGCCGAAGGCAGAGGCTTTAACCCACTGAGCCACCCAGGTGCCCCTTATTTGAGAGAGAGTACACATGTGTACATGCACAGGCAGGGGGAGGGATAGAGGGAAAAACAGATGCCCCCTGAGCAAGGAGCCCAGCATGGGGCTTGATTCGAGGGCTCTGGGATCATGACCTGAGCTAAGGCAGATGCTTAACTGAGAGCCACCCAGGTGCCCCTAGAAAATATTTAAATGACAAGAGAAAGTATCTCTCAGTTTAGAACTTTATACCCAACTGAAAAATCACTCTAATGGTGAAATAAAAATCATTTCAAACCAATTTAGGAAATTACTAAAGGGTATAACCTCAGGAAGAAGAAAATTCCATCCAAATGGAAGGAATGTGAATATAAGGGAAAATGGTGAGCTAACAGATGCACTGACTTTTGACTTTTGTAAGAACTGTTGATTTTTAGAACGATAAGAATAATCAATTTTGGTAGCTTAAAAACAAAATACAGGGGCACCTTGGTGGCACAGGCAGTTAAGCATGTGACTCTTGGTTTTCGGCTCAGGTCGTGATGCCAGGGTCATGAGGTTGAGCCCTGCTCAGCGCTGAGTCTGCTTGGGAGTCTCTCTCCCTCTGTTCCTCCCATTCCTTGTGTTCGCTCTCTCAAATAAATAAATAAATGATAATTTTTTTTTTAATGCAAGGACTTTTAAAAGGCAGAAACATGTGCTTACTTATACGGTATTGATTAGACTTAACCTTAGATTATTGGAGGCAGTCTCCAAACAAGGGGGCTTTCCCAGCACAAAACAGCTCCTGGATAAAATGCTTGGTAATACATTGTGCATTTATAGGAAATAATAAAAATATCACAGTAAACACAAAAATCGTATTCATAATATAAAATTTAGTCTAATTGGCTTTATTAAATAATTCATGAATTGGATAGCATCCCATTTAACAAGTAGAAGGGAGCTTTGAGGAGCTATACAAAATGGAAGGCTTCAGGGTGCCTGGACAGCTCAATCAGTTAAGCATACAATTCTTGATTTCAGCTTAGCTCTTGATTTCAGGGCCACCCCCCCTGCCCCCCGCATTGTCCCCACGCTGGGCATGGAGCCTACTTACAAAAGGGGGCTGGGGAGCAAAATGGAAGTTTTCTATATAGGAAGGAGGGTGGGGCAAGAGTTAGAAGTGAAAGGATTGTTCCAGTCAAGGTCTCTTTCCCTTAGGGGAAATTGCCAGGGGTTCTTAGCATGCAGATTCTAGAATCTTTCTTGGGGGGATGGAGAGGACCCATATGACAAATTACCTCACTGATCCTCATCTGAAAATTTCTGACTGACTAGTTGTGACTACATTTATGTGGGAGGAGGCTGAGACTGCAGTTAGATTAAGTATTAAGTCCAAGTTTAGGCACTTGGCCTAAGTGATGCCATTTTGGGCCTTTGGTTTTCTTTTTAACAGCTCCTTTCTTTTGATCAGACTCTGCTTAACTGAGATGTGATCAAATTTTAACTCATTAGTTCTGCTCTCAGCACTGGAACGTTCTTGTAGTTTTTGTTTTCCCTTTGTGTGATATCCAGACTTCTTTTTTTCTTCTTCTTCTTAATCTTTGTGATAGTCACAGGTCACAGCTTCAGGTTCACATTGCTTTGTGTTTCAGTCTTTCTTTCTTTCTTTCTTTCTTTCTTTATTTATTTATTTGAGAGTGAAAGGAGGCGGAGCAGAAGTAGGGTCCCCGCTGAGCAGGGAGCCTGATGTGGGGCTTGATCTCAGTGTCCTGAGATCATAACCTGAGCCAAAGGCAAACAGTTGGGCACCTGGGTGACTCATTTGGTTAAGCGACTGCCTTTGGCTCAGGTCATGATCCCGGAGTCCCGGGATCGAGTCCTGCATTGGGCTCCCAGCTCCATGGGGAGTCTGCTTCTCCCTCTGACCGTCTCCCCTCTCATGCTGTCTCTCACTCACTCTCTCAAATAAATAAATAAAATCTTAAAAAAAAAAAAAAAAAAGGCAAACGGTTAACTGAACCTGAACCCAGGTGCCCGTTACATTTCAGTCTTAAGTGAGAGCATTTATTTGGTGGTAAGCAGCTATGAACAGCCCTTCAGAGCTTTTGAAAGGGCACCTTGGGTGGCTCAGTCGTTAAGCCTCTGCCTTCGGCTCAGGTCATGATCCTGGGGTCCTGGGATCGAGCTCCGCATCAGGCTCCCTGCTCCACAGGAAGCCTGCTTCTCCCTGTCTCACTGTCCCTGTCAAATAAATAAATAAATAGCTTTTGAGAGAATACAGTGCACACAGGAGATTGTTGTGATTACTCTAAGTAGAATAATTGACAGTATTTGAAGTGCATCTTAGAGCTATGGTCCCCAAGACCTAAACCAATCAAAAATAAGTCAAAGAAAGAACCTCATGGAAGGAGTTACCTTTTTTTTTTTTTTTTTAAGATTTTATTTATTTGACAGAGATCACAAGTAGGCAGAGAGGCAGGCAGAGAGAGAGGGAGAAGCAGGCTCCCTGCTGAGCAGAGAGCCAGATGCGGGGCTCAATCCCAGGACCCTGGGATCATGACCTGAGCCAAAGGCAGAGGTTTTAACCCACTGAGCCACCCAGGTGCCCCTGGAAGGAGTCACCTTTTAAGGCAAATGTCTTGTTCTGTGATTTTTTTTTAAGATTTTATTTATTTATTTGACAGAGAGAGATCACAAGTAGGCAGAGAGAGAGGAAGGGAAGCAGGCTCCCCGCTGAGCAGAGAGCCCGATGCGGGACTCGATCCCAGGACCCTGAGATCAT